CGAGGACAGGGACGCGCTGGGCCGGGTGCGCGTCGACGCCACGCTGCGGGTGCCGTCGGCGCGGGCGGTTTTCGTCACCGGCGACGCCGCGCACGCTGTTGCGGACCCGGCGGCCGGCCAGGCGGCGCTGATGTGCTGCCAGCACGCGCTGCTGCTGGGCCGCGTCGCGGGGCACAATGCGGCGGCGGGACTTGTGGGCGCGCCGCTGGTGGACTACGCGCAGGCGGCGTACAACTGCTGCCTCGATCTGGGCGGGCACGGCGCGGTCATCTGCCGAGGCTGGCAGAGGGATGTCATGCTCGAGGGGGACATGGCCAAGAGGGTGAAGCAGTATATTAACGGGACACTCATCTATCCTCCGACGGATGCCGCGGAAGCGCTCGCGGCGGCGGACCCTGGTTTGTATGGGGATTCGGACGAGCTGTTTAGACAGATGATTGAGACGACTAAAGGAGCAGCGTAGATGTATAGAATAGAGCATTTACAATAGAATCAGTATCGTAAGAAACTGGTCAGTGTTCTTTGTCGCAGAGGGCCTTTGGATGCATTTGGTACTTTAGGTGCAGAGGTCTGATACGAGAAGAATGTATAGAGAATATATGGAAGATATATACAATATGTGCACTGTGGAAATATATACAGATTTGTTTCAAAACGTGATTCAAATAACCGTCAAGCCGAAAGCAAAGCTCCCGACCACGGGGGTCCTGCTGTCGCGTTAGGTAGTTCGCAGCGCAGCCTTGACGGTGTCACCAAACGTCCAAGCCTTGGAGCCGTCCCAGTTTATCGACCAGGTCATGAGGCCTTTCAAGGCGCCATTGTACCGGGCCAGGACCTGGGCCACGTTGGCGGTGGACATGTAGCCGCCGCCGGCACCGGGCTGGGCGGGCAGTCCCGGGACCTGCTTGTCGTACGGGATCTTGATGGTGACGCCCTGGATGGTCAGGCCTTTGTTGAGGCAGTCGGTCTGGGCGGTGAAGCCGGCGACGGTGCCGGCCTGGTACGAGTCGCCGGCGCAGCCGTACATGGCGCCGTTGTAGTACTGCATGTTGAGCCACCAGAGGCGTCCGTTGTCGAGGTACTTTTTGATGATGGGCAGGTAGGAGCCCCAGATGGAGCCGTACGTGACGCTGCCGCCGGTGACGTAGGCCGTCTCCGGCGCCATGGTCAGGCCAAAGTTGGGCGGCATCTGCGCGAGGACGCCGTCGATGATGCGGATCAGGTTGGTCTGCGACGTGGACAGGCTGCTGAAGCTGCTGCCGCCGGTGAGGCCGGACTCGATGTCAATGTCGATGCCGTCAAAGTTGTACTTTTTCAGGATGGGCACAATGGTCGCGATAAACTTGTCCGCCACCGCCGCCGAGCTCAGGTCAATCGCGGCCGTGGCGCCGCCAATGGACATGAGAATGGTCGCGCCCGCCGCCTTGGCCGCGCACATCTCCGCCGGCGTCGCCACCTTGACGCCCGCGTCCATGCCGTCCTCCCACATGACCGTGCCGTCTGGGTGGATGACGGGGAACGCGGCGTTGATGACGTTGTAGCCGTGCTGGCGGATGACCGGGTTCGTGATGGGCGTCCAGCCAAAGGGCGGGTGCACGCCGTTCTTGGCCCCGTCCCAGTTCTCCCAGTATCCTTGGAGAACTTTGCCGGCGGGACGGCCTTTGGTTGCGCACGTGTCAGCGCAAGGCGCGAGGGGAGAGGCACTGACCGCGCTAGATGCGAGCAGCAGGGGGAGCAGCGCGAGGCCGGTCTGGAGAAAGGGTGCCATGATGGGCAGGTGGTCGATAAGAAGGGATGGATAGAGACCAAAGCAAATTCTCTTAGGGGTTGCAAGACTAGCTGGTAGACTACCATGTTGACAGCAAGGCGGACAATGCTTGGTATTTATGGTATTTATGCGTCGCGCTCATGTTCCGCAGCCAGTCCCCAACCAAGATAAGACAAGCATGTCATAAGACAGCCATGGTACCATCCTGGTGATTCATTGTCTCGCTCCATCAGAAACGGTCAAAGACGGCGTGCCACCGAACACGGCCTAAACAAAGTAACGTGGGATCCATGCTGGGCGCACTTGCTATCGTTGTTTACCATGATCCAAGGTGTCCTTGTGCGGTGGCATATTGATGACCTCGGTGGGTGAGCCTGTCCGTGAAGGCACCCCGCAGGAGCTCTACATGCAAGGGGAATCACGTTTCAGCACAAAGGCGACTCGTGATGGATATGCCGAATTCATTGCCTAGAAAGGCATGTGGTAGTTGTTTAGCTCCAGTGGCGTGCCGCTGACAGGGTGGCATCTTGGTTCTTGGTTCCTAGTGCCGCTGTCAAGACGGCGACAGGGCCGATTCCATTTAGTCTTTGCGGGGGGGTTGCCGTGCATGCCACGTTCCGCATCGAGTCGTAAACCCGGAAAGACGTAAAAGTGAGCAGGATAATCAGCTCTTCATGGGGTTGTGAGAATATAGTCATCGTACGACAAGTCATGTGCTGTAATGAAAGGGGAGAGTGAAAGCGACTGCACGACCCATTGTGTCGCTTGAGATTTTATGAAGGATTCCCTTTCATTTTGGGCCCTAAATATGGTCGCACACGGTGTGATCTTGGCGGTCATGGTCAGTGTTTAAGCAAAACTCTGTGAGGCGAACTAGAGAGTCGCGCCCGAAAGAAGCCACGTTGTAATCCTGATGGAGGAGGGGCGCATAGAGTCAAGCCACATGTTGTCGTCCAATATATTGATCTTTGGACGAGCAATATCGGTGCAGGTTAACCGACTAGTCATGGTGCAACCACCACTTGTTAGGCTGTGGAGAACAGAGTTGGCTTGTTCCGGCACAAAGTTTCAAGTTTGAAGCCGGCAAGAGATTGTTCTGTTTCGCTCTATATTCGAGATGAACCGAGACGGTCTTGTCCTTGTGGTACGCGGCTCTTTGATAAGGTCTCAGTGCAGCTGCCAACCTGTCGCAAGTGGGCAAAGGAAATTAGTCGTGCCACAGCAGTATCGTTCATATTGAGATTTGTTGTTTAGTGGCCAGTCGATGAAGATTTGAAACAGGTGTTTGAGTTGGCTTCGTTGAGGGTTTTGGTCGCTGTGAGGGGAAAAGGGATGATGTATTGTGGAGGTTGTGGCCTCGTACAGAGTACAGTCGCGGAGATGAAGGACCGAGTGCTAGGCAATTCCTATAGCCTATAGGTGAGGCCAAAACTTGCGGATTGGGTGCGCTGCATTACTAGGAAATATACTCAGGCGAGGTTAAATTTTCTTTGTTGAATTTGCCTCGTAAATAGGGGTTTTCCCGTGATCAATTACGCTGGTTTACAAGGCGGGCATAGCCCTTGTAAGAACGCTGGTGAGAGGATACAGGGCTTCTAAACTCGGCCTCTTGCTGTATGGATGGTGTGCACCGTATACCCTATTAGGGTTTCGTCCTCGTGGCACTTGGCTGCAATAGTCAAAAACCATCAGCAAGACACCCTTGTCTTGTCCACTTCCTTCACCGACCACTGCATTCCAACACCCTCTCTTTCTTCTTCATCCCATCTTGGCCTGTTTCCGAGGGACCCATCTCCCCGCTCTCCCCGAGGATCCCCAATCTTCCGAGTCAGCGCGGCCGCTAGCCTTGATCCCGACCTCCCCGCAGGCGCATCTTGCGTCAGCTCAAACTTAACTTAGTAAAATTCTCGAAAAAATAGAATGGCAGCGTATGGAATCCGATGCTGTGTAACTCATCCGCAACTCATGCTGCCGACCCAAACACACAAAGTCAGCCGCCTTGATCGGGGAGACCGGGGACCGAGTGCCGGGCACAAGCCGCGTCGAAGCGAACCATGAATTGCCCTGCTTATCGTGAGAAATGGCAAGAAGATGGTGTTTGCATTTATAAATAGTCCCATCTGTATTTACAAGTAGCGTCCTACTTCAAGGACATCTTCATTCCGAGAATCCAACAAAAACACACCATGACTTCCTCCAGCAACCTCTGCATCTGCGTGACCTGCGGCACGCAGTTTGGCATTCCCTACGAAGAGCGCCCGCCAACCTGCCGCATGTGCGATGTATAATTATTCACTCAGCTCCATTCCCCCCTGCCTCCTCTCATCGCACTAACAACCCCATTCCTAGGAGCCGCGCCAGTTCGTCCCCCCGTCCGGCCAGTCCTGGACCACGCTGGCGCGGCTGCGCCCGCACCACCGCAACGAGATCCGGCAGGACGCCGTCGACGGCCGCATCTGGTCCATCTTCTCCCGCCCGGCGTTCGCCATTGGCCAGCGCGCGCTGCTCGTGGAAACCGACGCCGGCAACGTGCTGTGGGACTGCGTCAGCCTGCTCGACGCCGCCACCGTCGCGTTTGTCCGCTCGCGCGGCGGGCTGCGCGCCATTGCCATCTCGCACCCCCATTTCTACAGCACCCATCTGGAGTGGGCGAGGGAGTTTGCGTGTCCCGTGTACCTGGCTGAGGAGGACAGGGAGTGGTTGAATCGTGAGGACGAGGATGGGCGCCGGCGCTTTGTGAGCGGCCCGGAGCGCGAGATCCTGCCGGGCGTGCATGTCGTGAAGCTGGGAGGCCACTTTCCGGGGAGCTCGGCGCTCCACTGGAACAATAATCTTGTAAGTCGCAAAACGGAGCGCAGATCCCGGGTATTTGTGGTGATTTCGCTGTCTTTATTATATCCTTCTTCTCTCTTCGCTGGCGCTTCTTAGTGTTCCTCCGCAACTAATTCCGTGCGTCCAGTTTGTTGGCGACTCTATTGGAATCTCTCAGGTAATAAAGTCACCTCCCTCCAACCTCCCACTCAAGGCTAACTCACCTATTAGTCTGGCTTGGTGCGCTCTCACCACAACCACAAGCACCAGACCTTCTTCTTCCATTACGCATTCCCCAATTTCATTCCACTAGGTCCCACCGCAATGCTCGAAATGTGGAAAAGACTGGAGAAATGGGACTTTACGAGCGTATTCTCCCTGTTTTATCAGACAACGGTTCGCGATCCCAACGTCAAATCCATCATTTTGGACAGCATGCAGCGCCAAGCCTGTCACCAAGAGAACAACAACCACCCGCTGCTGGATCAGCGCTACCAGAATAGGCTGTAATAGCTACATCAGCATGTTGCGTTTCAAATTGTACTCTACAGCATTTGACTTGACAGTATATAGCTCATCTACATTGACATGAGTGTATCGAAAGTTGAGGCATCAAATAGCTCCGCCGCCAGATAAGGGCCAAGACCACTGTGATCATCCAGGAGGTCCACCATGCCCATGAAATAGTCACCGTCCAGCTGGTTGAACGCGCCAGGTTCCTCGGTCGAGAAATCAGCAATGTCAGAATCGGCTAAAAAACGAAGGTGAGTAATCATCATACACCGGAGCGATTGTAGGCCTCTTACATCGGTAATCTCGCAGTTCCGACAAATATCGGATATACTTGACACACCTCTTCACAAGAGGGTTGCTGTTGTCCAGATTTTCGAGTGCATCGGCCGCTTTGACAAGATTCAAGCGACCCTCCGCCACCACAGTTTGTGCATTCACCCGGTGACTGTGTCGGGCGCAAAGCATGCCGCCGCACACCATGAGCGCCGCAGTAAAGACTACAGCACAAAGATTAGCCCAGTCGTCTTGCATCCTGCATAAATGCTCAGGCAAACGTACCATAGTACAGTGTAAAGAACCAGACCCCGAGGTTGCTATCCTCCACGGGACCACCTCCAAAGACCGAGGCGGCCATTCCTATCGTCTCCTCCGCGGACGAAATACACTCAAATGCTTCCGCCATGGCAAGCTGCGTCGTGTAGGGAAGCTCCACATCCTGCCTTCCATGGATCTTGGACAGATACTTGAGCGTGACACACAGCAATGGTCGGTGAATGAAGATTGATATGCTGTGATATCGTACCGTCGTAATCGCCCGCAGCTTGTTCATTCGGGAACTGTGCTTCAGATCCGGCGAGCTACTCGGCAGCAACGAAAATTCAGACGGCAACGTCTCGGCCCATCGTCGCAGCTTCTGCCGCAACTTACTCGCTGTTTGCAGCATGGACACCTCGTCCTCGCTCTGGTCTGTGCCAATGTTGCCATTGTACTGGGCTTCGATGGAGAGACCCATGATCTGGTATAGCTGCACGGAAATGGACAGGAAGTCCGTCGCCACTTGCGCCACTTCAGGCAGCGTACCGATCTGGTCGTTTTCTGACACCGGCCATGGCTGTGGTAGACGAACCGTCATGTGCGCTGGGGGGATCGCACAGGGCCGGCCAAATGTGGCGCTCAGCACAGTGTCGAGGCAGTAAATGGTGTCCCATGTGCGAATTCTCATCTCCTGCACGACGCCATCCAGCTGCCGTCCAACTCGATCACTGTGCAGACCCAACGCCACTGCGCTTCTCACCAGCAGTCCATGCACACTCCAGGCCTCGCCCGCTTGTGGCGTGCCTTGAAGGTACAGCGCCTGCAGAAGAAGAAACTGCACAATGTCCAGACTGACAGAGCGCAGAGAGGAGGCGCCACACAAGGACATTGCTCTTCTGTAGTAGATGAGCGACTCCTCGAAGCACTGCTTGGACGTTCTTCCTTGCTTGCGGTTGATATTGCTCGCAATGGCAAATATCAGGTTGAGCTCCCCCAGCCACGTTTGCCGAACCTTGTTGAAGCCGCTGGCCTTGAACGCATTGTACGTTTGTCGAAACGTGGCTTCGTGTAAAAACGGGAACAGCAACCCCATTGTGTTGAAGAACCGATCCATCATGACCTCCATGTCAGCAACGGCCGGCAAGCGCGATGACGTCGCGAGCGACTGCGGGGTCGTGGGCAAGGCGCCAAGCGGCGAATGTTCCGACGAGAGGACGGTCCCGCGTCTGCCGTCGGGGTCGTCGCCCTTGCTGAGCTGGGGCCCTTCTGGCTGTTTGACGCCCCAGATGGACGACACGGAGCCGAGAAGGTAGCGGACGAAGCCGATATTCGACGACTCCCCGAAATACGCCGCCGCGCGCTCGTCGACAAACGTGATGGCGAGCCCGTCCGTCCTCGCTTCCGTCTCGCTCTCGGAATCATCCGAGTCAATCACCGACGCGTCAATCTCGATACCCTCACCCCCGGGCGCTTCCCGCAGCGGCAAGACACTTCCGGGCGGCTCCTCCTCATACGGGTCCCGGATGGCACAGGACGACAAGTGCCCCGTCAACAAGTCATCGTGCCGTTGCAAGAGGTGTTCCACTTTCTTCAGGCGCTGCTCGAGGCCCGACACATAATCTTTTTGGACGATGATGTTGGTCGTCGAGTCGGGCGCGTCATACTGGCATTCGAAACCGAGCTGACTGCACGTGGAACACGTCGGTCGTCGCCCATCGCACCTTGGCAGGAGGGGAGTAGTGTAAGCCGATTACGCTTCGTTGCCTTGGAGAGGGGATGCACTCTACCTGGACTTTCTGGTGCGGCAAGATGTGCATGCGAGAGCGATGCGGCGGCGCTTGGAGACTGTCACAGCAGCGCCCGAGTCTGCCATGTTGCGCGCGGGGAGATTGGGGAGCGGACGGGAGAACATGTCGCTGTGGATCGGGCTGCGCGGTGATAAATACTATTGCGCGTATACGAAATAGTTTTAGTGCTGATGGCACGAGAACCAGTCCAGAAGGCTTCTAGCGTAGCGGTGCTTCCTTGCGATATTTGGCATGGGCTATTATACAGTCCATATTTTGCCCGCTATTCGACGCCTTGCAGACATAACGAGATGCAAACGCCCTCCGCTCCGGCAAGGGACGGGACACTCCGGCCATATCGGACAATTTGCCGCAGGGTAAACTAGTCCGAAATAAGAAATCAAACTGGAGCACCAAAAATGAAGCCATTCAACATGCACCTTATATAAAGTCACAGCTGTAACTATGCACATCACATCCAACAAAGTACCATTCGCCATCATAAATCCCTTGCAACTCCAAACACATCATCTCCAGGGTCCTGTAGTATCCTTCCCCCCCCGAACAGAGTCTGCCCACCAACGCCACGCACCAGCTGCCCTCTTCACCAAACAATGACTGGCTTGATCGCCTCACCACGTTTCATGGCCTGGAGGGCCTGGGCATAATTTTCATGCTCAAAAAAGGTGACGAGCTTCTCGACGGGAAATTCTCCTCTGCGCCACCACCTGATCATTTCCGGAATAGACTCGCTCGTCCTGGCGTGTCCCTGCACGGCCCCGAGATACTGCTTGCCGCTCACCATGAAGCTCTGCATGTGCAGTGACAGATTGGCGTCGGGCATTCCCGTTCCCACCTGGATCACCTTGCCCATGTACCGCGTCGCCTCGATCTGCGCAGAAACAAGGGCCGGGAATGCCGTCGTGTCGATGCTCACGGTAGAGCCCAGGCCCTCGCTCGCTTCCTTGATCTGCGCGACAATGTCCTTCATCTCGAGATTTGTCGTGTTGATGGTGTGCGTGGCCCCCAAGGATTTCGCCAGCGCCAGCCGACTCTCGACTCGGTCGAGCCCGATGATGGCCTTGCACCCTCGGTTCTTGGCCGCCATGACTGCGGCGAATCCAACGCCCCCCATGCCGGCCACAGTGACACAGTCGCCAGGGCCGGCTTTGGCAACATTAACCACTGTGCCGCTGCCTGTTTGGAAACCACACCCCAGTGGTGCAAGGAGCTTCAGGTCATCTCTGCTGAGACCCAAACCGGAGACATTGACCACGGACTTGTCACTCACGATAGAGTGCCGGGCAAGGCTGGATTGACCAAAGAATCGGCCTCCAATCCCGCCTTCGAATACAGGCTCTCCCATGAAATTGATGTCGAAGAAATTGACGCAATGTGATGGTGTACCAGAAATACAGACATGGCATTCTCCGCAGTATGAGAACGAGAGAAGAACGGGGTCGCCAGGCTGCACGTTCTTGACTGCGCTTCCAGTTCGCACCACATATCCAGAGCCTAGACGTTTTAGTTGTACGTTGACGAGCGTAAACCAATGTAGCACCAAACGCCAATCGTACCTTCGTGGCCAAGCACTCGCGGATAGTATACTCCGGGCACCCCGGCATCGGCTGGTGTATCTCCGCAATGGAGGTCCGTATGGCAAATTCCAGAGGCAACCATCTGCACTACGACTTCATCATGGCGTATTTCTCGCAGCTTCACAGGTTCCAGCGCCCATTTGCCTTCCGAGAAGGGCCCTCTTGCCACAAGTGCTTCGGATTCAAAAGCCATCGCACGACCGGAGGGGGGGGGGGG